AATTGTGTATGTGTGTATATATATTTGTGTGTGTGTGTGTGTGTGTGTGTTTATGTGTGTATTTATTAATATACTTACCGGCAAAAGTAATGCGAATTCACATAACACAAGAAGAGGAGAGTAAATTGTAGCAATATATTTATTTAGAGAAACAGGTTTGAAGTGCCTCAAATTGCACATAACAATGCTTGAGAGTTGGGGATTTTCTTGGGGACAGATTTTGTTATTGGGCGTCAATGACCTTGACCTTGGGGCTTAAATTCCAGTCAGTATCTGGTACGGCCCCCATTAGCGTCGATGACAGCAGTGCATTGACGGTGCAAAGAGTGGACCAAACGATTGATTTGGCAGTTGGGGACCTGCACCCAATACTTAAGAATAGCAGCTCACAGTTGTGCAGCTCTCCGGGGTCTGGGCTGGAGTCGGTTGAGACGCCTCTGAAGAATGTCCCAGAGGTGTTCTATTGGGTTCACATCTGGAGATCGGGGTGGGTGAGGCATGGTGGGTATGTTGTTCTGCGCCAGACCGGGCGTTATCCTGCTGAAAGAGGTGATTTTGATGTCCATGAAAAAATGGAGCAACATGTGGCTGCAGGACTTGGTTGATGTCGCGCTGTGCCGTCACTCCGTTGCCACGTCCAGGTCCTACATTTTTGAAGATTATGAGGCCCAGTCTTTGACTGATTCTGATTGCACCTCATACCATCACGCTTTGACCTCCCCATCGGTCTCTCTCCCTGGTGTTCTCATCAGAGTAGCCTTGTCCGGGGCGGCGCGAAATTCGGACCCGTCTATTGTCAGAATCGATGCAGAAGCGACTCTCGTTGCTGAAGAGCACTCGCTGCCACTGTCGCTGACGCCAGTTAACGTCCTTCTGAGCCCGCTGGAGACGAGATCGTCGATGATGGACATTCAGAGGTGCTCTCTGCTCCGGACACCGACAACTCAGCCTCCTGGCCACAAGTTGGCAGCGTAAGGTGCGGTCACTCACGGCCCCATCGTGCGTTCATATGGTGTTCTAAACTGTCTCGGAGGCAGACGACCGTGGATCTCGATGATGCTGACGCACGACGAAGCGGTCTTGGGCAGCTGTTGTCAGTCGAGTTCTTCCGCTTCTTTGGAGATCTCTCGTGGAGTTGGTTGCTTGGAATCTGTTTTGCAGGCGGTAGATAGTGCTGTCATGCACTCTCAGGACTGCTCCCACCTGCTGAGGGCTCTCGCCGGTTTGCAGTTACAGACGTCCAATAGCTCTTTCTCGATTTTCCGCAGATAACCTTGGCATCTTGATAGTCGGAATATGCAACACTCAAACATTTTAGGGCAGAGAATTTATAGGCCAGACCAAATTAACATGTGAGCAAAAATTCACGATTCAATTCACGTTTTAACTACGTACCATTGAGAGGGTTGCCTTTGATGTATTGTTTGATGTATAAGCAGCCAATGAGCGTATTTTGTTTTTTTAAATCGAACCAATCCAATAACAAGACAACATTGTGAACAGAGACAAATGAAAACAACTCAGGAAAATACTCATTTTTGTTTTCTGCACATGGTGTTACTTTTTCGCGTTTTTTTATGCCGGTCAGTATATCTTCATCTCTCTCTATTTCTCTGTCAAGCAATCTACCTCTCTATCTTTCTTCCATCCCATCTCGTATCCCTCTATCTATCTACCCTTCCCCGTCTCTCTCTCTCTCTCTCTCTCTCTCTCTCTCTCTC